TCTAGAAGTCGTGACTGTCATTCAGTCAGGAGATCAGGGGATGCAGTATGTAGTGAAAAGCCTTCATGTTGGGTCACTCGACTAAGGCAGTCGTAATGAGGATCTTCTTGAAGTGGTGCCGCGTGTGCGACAATCTGCATGAGACCCAATTGATTTTATGTGGGGGAAAAGCCGTGGTATTGAAGACTCAAAGATTTTCCTCCTCTTCCTAGCCGCGCCGATCTCCACAGGTTTTACTAACTACTCCAGGCAGGCAACATAGAACATTTCTCGCACGTAAGGAATTTGCTGCAACCTCCACTACTACTTTGCAGATCTTCAACAATGAGAAACCCCTACAATCAGGGCAGCGAGAGAATTTTCGAACCTCCATTCCCTACGCAACATATTTCGCATTAAATTATTCCCGTGAGAAGATTTCTATGCAGATAGGAGATATTGCTTTCGAAATGCGCATTTTTCTCCACGTTAATGGTTAGCGAAGTGCTCATTAAGTCACGCAATAACGGAGCTCATTGAGGGGAAAAAATAAGCTAAGTTATTGCGTCGTTTTGCGAGTGTTAGAAGTTCAGAAAAGGTGTGGAAAAATCTTAATTCCGTAATTTTTCGTTTTTCAAATAACGAATATAATAGGGATAACTCCTTCAATAGGCAGCCTACATTCCTTTCTGTCACTTCTCTTCGGTCTAAGATTCTAATTGTTCTATTGTATGTCATTCTAGCCATTTAGTACCAAAGATGCGGTTCGCGATGATCAAATGCAGGTCTGCAGTAGAGTGCCTCGCACCATTTCGTCGGTAGAAAGTTGTAAGGTAAAGGCCCTGAGGCACATACTTTTCGATGACTCCGCCTCCCAGACTCCGCCTTCAAAATTCACTTACCAGCGGGATACGGTGCTACGAGACGAGCCGCATGAAGTGGAAGCTCCGTTATCACTTCTGCGTCCATTATAAGGAAGCGGCTGACTGGACTTGCCCCATTTTCCTTTTCGCCTTGTACCCGTAAGATCGCTTGGGGCCAGGGGGTTATATTGAAGGTGTTTCTAACTATCATTCAGCATTTTCTTCTTCACTGGCGGGTCTCTTGCAATATCTCTTCCACATTCAATTCCATTACCTCATCGTCCTATCGCGGACTGGACTTCTGAGTCCACTGGAGAATCCACCTGGTAAAAGCAAATTTTGTCAGATTTTAGAATGGCGATACCTTTCTTCTACTCAGATCTACTTTAGTTGTGCTTATATATCACTTTATTTTATGCAATCATTTCATTAATATTCATGTAGTTCTGGTATGTTAGAGGTAACCATTTCGCGAAGTTATTCAGTTGAGGTTTGCGTGGGATCAAATTTCCACTTAAAATTACATAGCCGTCGAATACTGGCTAGAGACAAGCGTTTTTATTCCATTCGCTTCCGCTTGCAATAGATTTCATTACGATAGGAACTCAGCCCCATTCATGAAGTCGTCAACAATAGATTTGTTTCCAGCTTCATTCCTTTCTTCGGCTCTAATTAATAATTCCACGCAACATCTTAGCTGAGAAGAATGGAGTTCCCTTAGACAGAACGATGTTTTCTTGCATGCCGTCCGCCGAATTCTCTAATGATCTCTTATTTTTACTCCTCCCTTTTTTTAATTTATTGCTTACTCTGTCTCGCTCTCGCTTTATTTGATTCTTATTTCTGGTACGTAAGAGAAGCTGGGGCGATGGCGACCTAGTGGCAACTGGGGTCGCTCAGTATAAAGGCGCATCGTACGGTGGAGATTCTTGGCGAAGGGATCGTGTTCGGTAGCTGAAAGTCTTAAAGAAAGGGGGAGTCTTATTAGTATTTGTGAATAATATTTTCGCTTGTTGACTTTTGGACGGTTTTCCCGCTCACATGCGCACATGCGCCGCCTGCTCGTCTCCCCGCTCAGTGGGAGGCTGGGTTTCTTGGAAAAAGCTTCAGAATTTCTGGAAAAACCCGGCAAAAGTGGTAGGAAGTGGGCAAATTTTGGGAAGGTTTGGGTGGGATAAAAGGACAAAGGATAAATTTTTTCGCTGTCGATCACTCCTTTTTTTATTATGCGATACGCATTCCACTTCCATTCAGAATTGTAGCAGCTTATCGAATACGATGTGAGCTATACAATATCTTGCTTGGGCAGCCGCTATATAAATCATTGTTCTTATCCTCCCAGACGAAGCTGGTACGAACTTACCATTCTCGCAGGATGTAAGGCTCGGTTGATTTGAAAAAGGGCCGATCCGGGATCTGATCTTCGGATCGTGCGCATGGTAAGCATGCTATCCGCCATTACACAACCACCTCTTTCCCAACACGGAATATCCCTGCTTACTATGCGAAGTGCAGAGTAATCCAGGACATTCGTAGTATCAAGCTGCGTATTGGCACTCGTCCTTACCCGAATAGCTCTCCCTCTCTTCAAGAGCGTACAAAACTTGACTAATGTTCATAAACACATTGGAAAATCTGTGGCTTGCTACCAAAGACTGATCAACTTCAGAGTCTTACATACATGGAGTTCCATTGTGATTTCAAATAACAGCGGTGCCAAAAAAAAAGTCACTTTCTTCTCTGACTTCGAGCGCTATAAGTTACACTTTATTGAACTCTGATTGGACATTTCCACACACATCTGAAAGAGTATATTAAATACTATCATGACACTCCGCCACAGACTTCTGTACTATCGAAGCAATTATAGCCACGCCCGTGATGTGGCTTTAGATCAGCGAGTTAGTTATCTGCTCCACCGTAGACCACCCTAATGAACTCCGCCTGAACCGGGTAATTGAGGGGATTCAGGTCAGGTTCTACTTGAATATTCCGTCTCCTTTAGGTAATCAAGGCCCTTCCATTCCAAGTGAGCGAAAGTTTCTCCAATGCCCTTCGATTCCATGGTTACACCCATGCCTGCTGCAGCTATCAAAGTTCCAAGAATGTTACGGGGCTGATCGAGATGTGGGCGAGGTATTGCTCTCGAGTTGCCTCGATGTAACCGCCACCTGCGAGGCCGGGTCCACGAAGAAATATCGCCTCTGTTCTATTCCAGTGCGCCGTCACACCTACCAAACCTGCTAGCCTGCGTGAAGCATGAATGTCCTAACCGTAGCGACGCTTGTCGAGCAGCATCGATGTGGAGGTCTTCCAGATCAATAAGCTACTGGTCCTCAGAGGCTATCCACGCGCGTGACTCCATACTAGAATTTCCAGCTCTGGAAAACGACGAAGAATTCCAAGGGTCTTCTCCAGTCAGGCTGACTGGAGATGACTTCATATTTTGGTGTACATGAAGGTGATGGGCGAGAGCCAGCTCCTGCTTATCGAGGAACATCTTGGGTATCTTCCGCCCTGGTACTCGTATCCACGTCCTCTGTCTGGGCTGCGAAAACTTTGCTGATATGTGACTCGGTCGAAGTGACTTTTTTTGCCCCCCCCCCTGTACAATAGCTGGAGGGATTTGCACATCAGCGAGCGAACGGCTTCAAATCAAGCGGTTCTCTGTTCTGTTTGGTATCGGTCAGCTCGCTTCAAACTTAGTTGAACATTGGGAACACCTTAAAGATAATCCAACGCTACCTACATCATTGACCCTATTGCTACACCTCTCTGATTTTGATTGGAAGCTAATTGCGGGACGCTCCCGAAGAACTTAAGAAACTCCAGATTGAAGGGAGCTGTTCGTGCTAACCCGAATTCAAACCTTCTAAGATTATTGCCCCTTTGGCACTCTTCCAATCCTACTGTCTCCTCCCACACCAAAGTCCGGCCACGTTTCGCTTGTTTCGAGATGGTGTCCGGAAATGAGGACACAGTAATTAGCTGCGTCGACTACGGATTTTATGTGGATCGCACCGCAATGCTCTGTGAAGTCTTAGCCGTTAACGCCCTCAATCGGCGCAATTGTTGACTCTCAGCAATTTACCAAACAGCAGTCCTGTAGGGCTACGGTTTGACCTCCTAGACTGAAATGAAGACTTTATCCTTTGATTACTCCGATACTGACCTTATTCACCGCCTTTCTCAACTCAAATCTTGAGCCATCGCTCTGTAATCACTTTGGAAATTCTGTGAACTGTTTTGCAATTTTTCCGTTCTAGCCTTTAAGGTAGTCTCTTTCCAATGACTATGGAATAAACTATTTCTTCATATAATATTACCTAAGATGCTTATGGCGTCGTAGGGACAAGTGGAGCTGCTCACCACGCAAGCGGTTGGGGATCAAACGGCGATCGGCCCCATCGGGGCCGAGCAAGGCTTATTTTCCTTCCGGGGCGGCCAGCTCGGTAGCTAATGCTTTTGGGATGGTGAAAGCCATGGCCATCATGTTGGCTGGCACTCCAAGTCATTGCGTGGCTGAATCGCATTGGAAATGCCGCTGAGGCTCTGAAGTTTCTAGAATGGCACAATCAAAAAAGGATTGGTCAACGTCGGAAAGCTTGTTCACCGGCTCGCACTTCCTCAATCATCCTGTTACGCCTCCGACAGGTCCTCGATTGTGCCGGTGTTTAGAGCTGTTGTAGTAAGTGAATAGATCCGTGTGAAGATTGTCTGAATTACCGATCGGGAGACTTCCATTCGAATATGTTTGGCCTTCATTGCATACTTATGGTTCGAGTGGCATACCTTACTAGTTACCTAGTAAGTCATCCTCCCTTCTAGATAGGAAATGCTGTTATGAAAAGGTTGTTTAATTATGATGGCTGCGGTCCAGTTCAGAAGTTTTTAGTCGATTCTCAGCAACGCTTTATTCGTGGTGGTTTGAACCATACAAATCAGTCGTCGCGCGCTTATATGCGCACGAGATTTTAATTTTGACTGGTGACAAATATCCAATTGTGAAGCTAAAGACAAAACAACTGTAGGCTAAAGTCAAAACATGTATAGAAGATGACTAAGCTGTGGAAGGAAATTGAATGGTAGTCGACAAATTATGGTAAATGACATATGAAATAATTTGATAATTTTATCGATCAGATAAACTCCCGGGGACTAGATTTGCTTCTTGGCTGGAAATGTGTTCGAGAAAAAGTTCACAATGGAAATAGTAAGCGAAATGAGTAACATAGCGACACAGGCAGCTATAAAGGTTCTAATAAGACCGAAGAAGGTAAAGTTTCGCGGAATTGATGAGACCCATTCCGTAACGCTGTGCCATACGTTGTCCGGTGGAATCGTACTGATGTCATCGTTGATTCCAATCTCGCGTTGAAGCTCTGAGTTCCGCACGTAATCCAAAGTGCCGTTGATGAGAAAGTGTGATTGCCCTCCGGGGCAGGAGACAGTGCAATTCGTAGCGATTTTCGGAGAGTTAAAATGGAAACTCAATACTGATAGTCTTCCTCTTGGAGTGCATATAGCAAGCTGGTGTTGTCCTTCGCATGTTATGTCAGCAGTGGTTTGGTCCTGTGTGGAGTAGCATACTATTGTGGCCTTTGCTCCGAAAATGCAGGAGTAACATCCTTCGAGAACAGAAGTCGTAATGGAGCATTCCCCGTGGTTCTGAATTGTCGTTATTTTGACATTTTCCATCGTTGCGTGAACGTGAATGGCTGATCCAACTTGCGTACGGGCTGCAATCGTATCGCCGTGTTTTTCGATAACGATGTTCTTGCTTGTGAATGGCAAGGTGTTGCGTTGCAGATAAGACGATATTTTCCCTTCTGGACATGTGCAGCTGGCTTTGAATGATCCCGTAGAGCATGTGCATGCTCTTGCGGAAAATCGACAACTGAATTGTTTCGCTTCGGCTTTGGAAGCGCACTGGAGCTGCCCTGGCGTTTGGGGAGTTAATTCATTTGCCTGAACGGTCATGGTCATGGATGTTTTCTTGCCGTCGGTTATGAAGGCCGAGCCCAAAATGGGAAGCTGTGGAGAAACGGTTGCGAAGAAGAGATAGTTTGATATTCTTCACTCTTGCGGTTCTTCCTGGTCGAAGTACGACGCTGTGTGTCTCGGTTTCTTGATTTTGCAGTTGTAGTGTGACGTCCGCTGTAACTGTCAGCTCCCATACTGGACAGGTGAATACCGTATAGATAGTGTCGGATGAGGGTGTCGCGTAGTATCGGTAGAATAAACACGATGGCTTGCAAAAGAAGCAACCGTCACAGTTCCAACATTGACAGCTGCTTGTACAAAATGTGAAACCTGGATTATTCGACGCTTTCCAGCTGAACTCGGATATGACGTCTGTTGATTTCGTATTGTCGCATTTCCCAGGTTTGCAGCTCCCTGCTCTGTAACAGCGATGAGAAGATTCTGATTGGAATTCGTGGTCGCGTGTGAAGAATTCGATCTTTTGGTGGCAGACATGTGATATGTTTTTCATCCGTAATGACACTTGGCCGATTGGCTCGTTCTTGTCATTTCTCAGGGCGAGACATATATCTTGGCCAAGAGGCTGAAGAGTCACGGTAACGCCTTGGTTGAAAAAGCACGTTTCGGTGGAATTGACGATGGAACAGGATTCAGTCGCAACACCATTCAATTTCCTTCCACAGCTTAGTCATCTTCTATACATGTTTTGACTTTAGCCTACAGTTGTTTTGTCTTTAGCTTCACATTGGATATTTGTCACCAGTCAAAATTAAAATCTCGTGCGCATATAAGCGCGCGACAACTGATTTGTATGGTTCAAACCACCACGAATAAAGCGTTGCTGAGAATCGACTAAAGAAGTTGGCGTTTTGAACTTTGTCACAAGATCGCTTTGTTTCGGTGCTGAATCTAGAACGAACGGTGACCTTCCACTTCCCGGGTGGATCCGGATGTTTTATCCGTTACGCCACCAGATCCCGTTACCCATGCTCTTGATTTAGGATCGGGGTACCCAATCATTACTTTTTTTCATTATGATTTCTTGAACAAGGTCAACTATCCTTCTAAACATGTAAAGATTAGCGTCTCGCTGTTCACCGCCGTTATCGGCTGGTCTGACCATCATGTTGAAGGTGGGAAGGCTGTAGGGCTGTGGCTCGAAGGCATTAAGCTGAAATTGCAAAAGGCGGCCCTGGTAGGGTAACGGATAGCGCATTCACCCGGAAAGCGTGAGGTGCGGGTTCGAGTCGAAACCCGTCTGTAGTTAAGACTTGTGCCCATAACTACGTTTTGTGATAGCTGTGATAAGAATTTTCCATATCTTAGAGAGACATTCAGAGTGGAGGCGCCCATGAGTAAGGGCTTTTTGCTTAGATAAAGCTCAAAACTCAGCTTCAAACATGAAAACAACGAGCTTTTTAACGTCTGGTAGAGAGCTTCTTGCCCAGTGAAATAGTGGGGGCAGTTTTTGGAGGGAGTTTCAAGTCGACGAACTTGAGCATTTTCAACTTAATCAAACAACTAAAAGTGCAGGGGCTCATTCGACAGCCATCGGCTTCCTAGGGATGACACAGAAACTGTTCACCATTCATTCCAGAAATTCAGTTCAAACACTCGACACGGAACTGTGGAACCTGCTGTTCTAGTGAGTCGACTAGGGAGCCCACTGAACCAGCTAGTTTAAGGGATACCTATCAGAGAATGGGGACTTGGTAGGCTAGGTAGGTGGGTAGACAATGAGATCGTCCATTCCCTCATCGACTATTGCCAACAGTTGATGGAAGAGGTTGAGAGGGTTAAGAACTCGGTGCACGGGCTCTGCAGATAGTCGCTCCCCAGGAAGGCGCCCCATGCGATGCCATGCACATTTATATGGTGCACATTTCCATCTCTAAAACATATTTGAAAAACCTCTCGCCGATCTCACAAAATTTTATGTGGGGAAGAAAAAGCTTCATTGCTATTGGGCCAAACTAATATGAGAGGCTCTCGCGTCCTTCAGACGATTATTAGCAAACCCAATTCTTGATGCGTATTTATCATGACTTTTCATTTCTTTTAGCGTTTATTGCCAGAGACTCTGGTTTACTCCCGCTGTCTATTCACAATAGCAAACAAATCAACAAATAGATTGTTTTATTTCAAATTTCTGGCTTTCTTCGGGGACAAACCTCGGTGCATTTCAATTTTCCCACACTGCACTTACATGCATATTAGTCTGTTTAAGTTTAAAAAAACTTTCCGATCCCAATAATGCGATATCGCTGAGATTTGAAGAACTGCGCTGGGCTTATCCTCTTCACTGGTTTTTTTAGACATGATTGAATGTAT